GAACTCAGCAGGTATCGCATCGAAATAACAGCCCTGAGTGACACAAGGCTGGCAAATGAAGGCCAACTTGCTGAAGTTGGAGCAGGATACACCTCTTTCTGGAGTGGCTGCAGTGAAGAGGGGCACCTTGAAGCTGGTGTAGGTTGTGAAATAAAAACTAATCTAGTGAACAGGCTTGTATGCCTACCAAAAGGAGTGAATGACAGACTCATGACAATGCGATTGCCACTTGCTGGAAAATGCCACCATTATCAGTGCCTATGCTCCCACCATGATGAACCCCAATGAGGTTAAAGAAAAATTTTATGAAGATCTAGAGACTCTTATCATCAATGTGCAAAAGAGGACAAGCCTATAATCCTAGGTGACTTTAATGCTAGGAAGGCTCAGACTACCAGACATGGCAAGGAGTCCTTAGGAGGAATGGAGTTGGAAACAGCAACAATAATGGTCACTTACTATTGAAGACTTGTGTATCTCATGACCTTCTCATCACCAACACTGTTTTCCATTTACCTAAATGCAATAAAACCTTATGGATGTACCCTTTCAGCAATCATTGGAGTCTTAATAGACTATGTTATTGTAAGGAGATGAGACAGACAGGATGAGAGAGTGATTAAGGTGCTGAACTGATCATAGACTTATCCTCTCCAAGCTAAATATTCATATTCAACAAAAGTTGTGGTCCCAGGGCAAAATGACTACAAGACTTAATGTCAACAGATTAGAATGCTTCTCTGAACAGGAACAGTTTGTTGCTAACTTGGAGGGAAAGTTGAACCGACACACAGTTGACAACAGTAGAGCAGAAAAGGAGTGGACCAGGTTTCCTTGTATAAAAAAAAAAAGACAAACATAGGAAATTATATTTTATTCTAGAGGTTAATGGAGTCAGAGGAATTTATTTAATAGGAGAGTGGCATGGTCAGCCGTGGACATCAGGAAAATCACTTAAATAACAGTGTGAAGAAGAGATTGGAAATAGCAACTATTTCTGTTCTGGCCAGAAATTCTGAGGTTTTTCCCTTCCCAGACTGATTCTTTCATGAAGGCAAACTAGGCCATCTTTTGCCTCAAATCTTACCTTGCTTTTAATTTTTGAATGGGCCTTGCCTCAGACAAACTGAGATCTGGTAAACAGCTTAGCCTAAAAAGGCCATGGTCTCCTATTGCACCCAGGGCCATTGACAATCATCTCGACTTATATCTTGCCACTGGACTCTGTTGACTATGGAGGAGAGAGACAGGCTGATAACTTTGCACAGCTCTGCCTCACTTAAATTCAGTTCACTCACAAGTCAAGACATCACCCTCCTGATGTCCTTGGTCCTCATCGAGAATGAAGGATGAACAACAACAATCAGTGAGAAATAGATTGGAATGGACAGAGACTTGAAGCAAGGATACCAATTAGGAGGCTATTACAATACTCCAGGTTCAAGGTGATAAGGTCTCTGCCAGGATGGTGACTGAGTGGAGAGAAGTGGACAGTGGAAGAAGATAGGATCAGGTAGATGTACTGTCCTTGGCAAGAAGGGCCATCTCTTAGAAATTAGAGCAAAAGAGTAAACATGAGTAATGATGTAGAAATTCTTGTGTCTAACAGTGTTCTGCACACAATACATATTTTACAAGTGTTTCTTAAATCCAATTTGATCCTCTTGCAGCACAAGAGAGTGGCATGAGTACTGAATTCAAAGTCAGAAGATCTGGGTTCAAATCCTACTTCAGACTCTTACTAGCTGTGTTATGCTTCAAGCTATTGAAGCACTCTCTACAATGCATCTATAAAATTAATGGGATAAACTAGGTAATCCCTAAAGTCCCTCACTACTACAAGTCTGTAACCTAACAAGAGATCCTATGATGATTCCCTAAGACAAGGACAGTATGTGTTATCAGTCCTGTGTTACAAGTGAGGAAATTGAGGTCTAGAGTGATTAAATGACTTGCCAGAGGTCACATGCTATTAAGTGATAGAGCTAGGACTAGCTCCTGTCTTCAGACTACTCATTCTTTCTTCTTGCCACTGTTCCACCATGGGGACAACTATGCAATGATTTCTGATAAATGGATTACACAGCAAACAGACCCCTGACTGTCACTAGTTTGTAATAATTTTTTAAAAAGCAATCCTTTAACCAGTTTCAGTATCAAAATGGTTTACTTACAATCTCTGTTCAATGCGCATTAATGTTCTTAATGTTTAGAGGTCAGAATGCTTCTGTATGTTTCATACTCAAATGTTTGAATAGAGCCTCCATTCTCTACCTCTACATCTACTGCAAAGTTACACCATTTGAGTCTCAGGAGGACCTTTAGACAAAGAAACTTACATAATGAAAAAGGACACTATGGTTGCTCAATTGAGCCTAAAGTCTTCAAGCTTTTTATGGTTACACACTCAGCAAACTAAGAGTGAGGGCATGAGTGGCACCCAGGAACTGTTGCTATGGTAAAACAGGCGATAACCTTTTTTAGTATTCTTCAAGGTTAGTTAGAATTCAGAAGAGGAAAAAAGGTTTCTATAGCATTCTTTAGCTTACAAACTGGTTGTATCCCAAAAGTTTGCTTGGAACTCAGTGTATTTTCCCATAAAAACAAATTCTTTATGGTAATTGGGTTCCTAGGCCAGTCAACCCATAATGTGTCAAACAATAATTCACATTTTTATAGTACTTTGTTAGTTAACAAGCATTTATTAAGTGCCTACTGTGTGCCAGGCATTGTGCTTAAGCTTAGCTGGGAATACAAAGAAAAGCAAAAAAACTATCTCTGTTCTCAAGAAACTCACAGGCTAATGGGGGAGACAACTTTCGAGCAATTATGTACAAACAAGATATATACAGAATAAACTGGAGATACATTTTCCATCACTTCATTATGTAGAAAGCACTTTCCTTTCAAATATATTATAAGATAGGCTATATCAATGACCATTTATTAAGCTCCTACTGGCATATAGCCAGGCACTATACTAGGTAGGAAGGATACAAGGACATAAAGGAACTTGCATTCTGTTTGGTGGAAACAACATGTAGGCTGCTAACTATATACAAGTATTATTATTTCCATTTTACAGATGAGAAAATCACATTTCAGAGATTAAGTGAACTGTCCAAATCCACACAGCATGGATTCATACTCAAATTTTTACTCACTTTAGGTACAAAATTTAAACTGCCGAAGTTATATTTTTTGTATAACATTGATTTTTACGGGAAAATGCATCCGGAGGGGTCCATCCATTCATACAACATGAATGGAAACTAGAGTGCTGGGGGGTGACGGTGTTAGGGTAGGGGAGAGAGTAATGGAGATCTGGGCCACAAATCATTTAGCTCTACACATTTGCATTACTGAAGATACCCATTTAGGTCAATTCCTTGACAAAGGACTGGGAAACACACTTCAGTAGGGGATGAAGTCGCAAACATCATTTGTAAATCAGGACTACACGAGGGAAGATAAAATCTTTGTAGCAACAAACAGTTTGGTTATTTGCCTTTTTAAGATCCAAAAGCAAAAGGCAATTTTATCTGTGTTTTCCTGCAAAAAGTATGGCAAGTACCTAGGTTTCTGACTCATGTTCCCAAGACTATGAAATTATGATGTCTGGAAAGATGGCAGCAAAGTTGCATGGAGGAGGGGAAAAGATTACCAAGTCTTCCTAGTTATCTCCGTTTTCAGTTGGGAGCAATATCTCCTTAGGGCATCTGGGATTAACCAACAAGGTGGCCTCATCCATACTAGGCAGGGATCATGGATTTATTTCTTTTGAGAAATCCCATCTGCTAATCTTTTCAGTAACCATTGCTTGACTATTTTACCGACTGTTTCTCTGGCAGCAATTATAATTTTCCAAAGGCTGGCTCACTGGAAAGTCAGGATTTGATTAAGGGTGTGGAGGCAAGAAGAGTAGGAAGAAGATTATGGCTTTGCCTCCGTTCCTTCAGTTTCTCAGTCTGTTTCAGGCAATTAGCTATAACCCCCCGGGGGTGTTTTCGTGGCTGCCGAAAGTAAGGAGGAAATGAGGCATACCACTTTTAGGTGGGTCCTCCAAGTGGAGGGAGGGATACGGGATTAATCAGTTTTGAGGGTATGGAAGTGCTGTTGTTGGACTTGTTTCCACGTCTGAAGGGAGGTTAGAAGGGAGAAAAGAAAAAAAATTGTAGTAGTGTTATCTCTTCTGCAGATGTAAATAAAAACACAAACCTAGAACTAAGTCTGAGCTTTCAGACTCGCCTTTATCTTTATAGCTAAAAATTTGCATTCTACTAAGCTCCGGGAAGAATGGGGCGGGAGGAGGAGGGAATAGCATTTTCTTTCCTTAAAAAGCTGGCTGGACACTCCGCAAACCACGAGTAGCTGAATTCTACTGGTGGCCAGGATTTGCAGGATTCCACGAGAGCTCCCGGCCTTCGCCTCTTGCACACCATGGCTCGCACCCTGCGATCCCCCTCCCCCCACAGGGGTGGCCAAGCAGCTGGTATTTGAGTCGTCCGGCCGGATCACAGAGGTCGGTCGTTTCTTACGGGCGTTTAGGTAACGTCCGGTTTTTTCAAGTTTTTATTTTGGTGACCCTCCCTTCCTCACCCCACTTCTACCTTATTTTCCTTCCCTTGGGTGGGTCTCTCTCTCTCTCTCTCTCTCTCTCTCTCTCTCTCTCTCTCTCTCGCTTTTCCTTGGACTGGAGAAGAATTCACATTCACGCCTTAAACTTACAAATGCCAGTCCAAACATCATGCTTCCTGCTCGGAACCACAACTGCTGCTAAATCAGAGGAGAGATGGAGGGGCCGACAAGTCCCGGGCCACCCCTGAGGCCCGCAGCGCCTCTGAGCACCCCTTACCCAGCTCCCACAAGCTGTTAGAAGTGACTTTCATCAGGTCCCACCAGGGCAAGCTGGTGACCCAAACAATCCGGGAGTCCACTCCCTGCTAGCCCACTCCCAATCCAGCTCCTCGGGTAGCTAAGTAGGAGACAGAGGGGTGGAGAGACAGGCTCCGCCCTCGGCGTATGACTGACAGCCTGGGTCAAGGCAAAGGGAAAAAAGGAGACGCGGACGCGGGGGAAGCGAACTAGATGCCAGTGGGAAGCCAGAGGAAGCAGGTTAGGAGTGCGAACAGGAGATGTGTGCGCTGCCGTCCCTGGGGTTCTAGCTCAAGATTTCCTCGTGAAGTTCTCTGCTGCGGAACCACAGTGTGACCTGTCTAAATCGATCAGGGCCAGGTGTAGCCTAGGTGACTTCCTGCGCCTTTGCGCTTGGCTGCTTCCAGGCCTTCTGGTGAGAGCCAAAGAACCTGAGGCTGAAGGGAGCGGAGAGAGAGCAAATGGGGCCGAGAGCCTGCCCACCGCCCCCAGGTCCTAAGTGATGGGCGTGCCCCCAGGCCGTTGGGCTCCCTTGGCCCCGTGCCCTCCTTCTTCTGCTTGCTCTATCTCCTCCCGGTGGCTCTCAGGCCGGAGAGGAGATAAGTAGCTCTTGGAATCCCAGCCGATGAACTTCGGACCCTGCACCACCCTCCTTCCACTGGTCTCCTGCTTTCTTATCGGACCTGGCTCCCGCAAGAGCTGCGGAGGCCGCTGTTCTTAGTGGGGACACTTTTCACTCCGACGGGACATAGCGTGCCGGGTGGTGCTGCCAGCCCCGAGCTAGCGAAAAGCAGAGAGCCTCCTCTCGCGTCCTAGCCGGTGCTCTCTCCTCTCATCCCGGCCCCGGGCTGCTCCTCCCACCCCGGCTCTTTCGCCTCCCCATCCCGCCCCTGCCCCACATTTGGACGCAGCGCTCGAACTGCAGCCGTCACTCGCTCGGGATGGAACCCTCGCGGAGATCACCGCCGCCTTCCATGGAAACGGGGCGCGGGGAGCACGAGGCATCGCAGGTGGCCAGGGAGCGGATCCCCAGGTATCTGCGGTGGGTTCGGAGCTTCCCCAACTCCGGCCCTTCTGGTCGGCCCCCGAGAGGGAGGGCACGAACCGCCGCCCGGACCGGAGGGTTGCAGGTGTGCGCTGTTGGGCTGCGCGGAGCTGGGCTGAGTGAGGAACCAGGGGGCTGTCCTGGCACAGGGCGTATTCTTTTCTAGTCAGATTTTTAGTGAGCCATTCTCCCTCCCCACAGTAGGTGCTCGATTTCCCTCCCTCCCTCTCTCTCCCTTTCCTTCTCCTGCCTCTCCCACTCCTCCCTCTCCCACTCTCTCCCTTCGTTCCTCCCTTTCTTTCTTCTCTCTCCTCTCTCCCTCTCTCTCTCTCTCTCTCTCTCTCTCTCTCTCTCTCTCTCTCTCTCTCTCTCTCTCTCTCTCTCTCTCTCTCTCTCTCTCTCTCTCTCTTTCAGTAAACCACAACTGCCTGGCAGAGTTGTGATCGTTATATTTATAATCATTTCACTTGGAATAGTATCCAGAAGCCTCCTTTCTAGTTGGCAGAACGACAATTTCTTTCCAGGACCACAGGGGTTCGTTCTAGGGGCCCACAGTGCTGTTGTCCCCCACCCAATAAGGTAGAACTTCGACCTGAGTGGGCTGGAAATCCCGCTAGCAGAGAGCCTCAGCCCATTCTGGTCGCTGTGGTCTCCCTTTGAGAAGCAGGAAGAGAAGACATTCATTCAGTCACCTAACAGAAGAGTATTTGATAACTAATGGTTTCTTTCTGGAAACTATAGACTTTTGGAGCAGGAAAGGGATATTAAGGTCACCATTTTACAAATGAGGAAACCGAGGCCTAATGACTTGTCGAGATCACAGCAAGTTAGTCCAAGAGGCACGATTGGAAGTAAAACCAGATCTGACTTCTAGTAGCAGCAGCATCAGCAGCAGCAGCAGCAGCAGTAGTAGTAGTAGTAGTAGTAGTAGTAGTAGTAGTAGTAGTAGTAGTAGTAGTAGTTACCATTTATATAGCACTTTCAGGTTTGCAAATTGTTTTTACCAATATTATCTCATTTTATCCTCATAACCACCCAGGAAAGCAGGTGGTAGTATTATCCCATTTTACAGGTGATGAAACTGAGCCAGAGAGAAGTTAAATGACTTGCTTAGAGTCACACAGCTGGTGTCTCAGGCCAGGTTTGAATACAGATCTGGATCCTGGGGCTCTTTTCACTGCCCCACCTTGTACATGGGAGACCTCTGTTCCAGTCCCAGCTCTGCTACCAAATTCTTAGCTCTGTTCTACTTCATACTGTTTTTCCTCAGTTTACAACAGTTAAATACTAAGTATTGGCATATCATGAGACTGTCTTTTTTTGGTCCACATAGCCTTGTGTCGTTGTTGCCCATGCTGGGGTAGATCTCCCGAATGTAAAAACAGAGAATTAGCTTCAGTTAAATGTTAAAAAAAAAAAAAGCTTCAGACTTTGTGTCTGGGTTTTAAACATACTTGAGTTAAAGATAAAAATCTTTCCTATTAAAAAGAAGCAGGTGATCGAAAGTTTTATTCTGTGTATTCAAGGTATCCAAGCATGTAGGCACATATCCTTTTTAAGTTGGTGTATATGTACACCATGTATTTGCTTTTAACTTCCTGCTTTGATAGTACAATTTTGAGCTAAGCCTAATGAAATTATTAGCAGCTATCATCTTTATGTTTAAAATTATTATTCAATTCCCTAAGCATTCATAAAGTGTGTTCCAGGCACTTCTGAAACAGATAAAAATAACGCTCACAGAGCTTTTATGGGGATAGAAAGGAATGAAACCACACTTACACAGAGAAAGAAATGCAAAATATTTACAAAGTTAATTGTACTTGTTTCCTCTCCTAATATCAGGATCGATCCATATGGATTTGAAAGGCCTGCAGACTTTGATTATGCCTCTTATGAAGACTTTTTTTCCACCTATCTAAGGATACTCACTAACAGAGCAATCAAGTGGTCAAAGCTTTTGAAGGGAAAAAATAGCGTCCAGAAAAATATGAAAGGTGAGCTTTAAGTTGTCGTACACCAACGTGATTTCATTCATATTCTCATCAAGTGCTATTTTGAAAATGGACAAACTTCATTATGTAGCAACTTCAGCGAAGCTGATATGTGCTGAACTTTTTGGCTTAGATATTTTTAGGGCCAGGCTGTTGAACTTAAATGCTACAAGGCAGCAGTCCAGCCTGAGCACTTTAATTATCCAAGGAGTAAGAGCTGGAGGAGGGGGAGAACACCCTCAGGAAATTCAGTGGCACTCTGACAATTGAGTAGGATTTCTGTGGGATAGAGAAAGAAAGGGAGTGTAAGATGGTTTTTTCTAAGTTTTTACAGCTTCAAGGGTTTAAACTGGATTGAGGCTTTTGAATTGTTTATTGGACTAGTTAGCTGTCTCTGCTCTTGCTTTTTCTATGAAGGTGGTCACCCCTATTGCTAGGAAAACCTGCAAAGGGTTTTGTGAATTTTTGCTGCATTCTTTCCTACTACAGAAAGGTAGAGAATGGGAGGGGGAAAGAGGACCAAGGATTTAGAATCCATCAATCAAGAAACATTTATTAAGCACCTACTACATACCGATCATTCAGTCATGTCTGTGACCTGGTATGAGATTTTCTTGGTAAAGATACTGGAGTGGTTTGCCATTTCCTTCTGCAGTAGATTAAAGCAAACAGATTATGTGACTTGCCCAGGGTCACATAGCTAGTGACTGTCTGTGGCCAGTGTTGAACTCAGGTCTTCCTGGCTCCAGGCCCATTAGTCTATCCACTGAGCCACCTATCTGCCTCTAGCTAAGTGACAGCAATTGTGTGCCAGACGCTGTTAAGTGCCAGAACTAGAAGACACCTTTGCTATAGTAGAAGAGTCCTGAACTCAAGATCAGAAGAGAGTAGGTTCAAATTCCACCTCTGACACTTACCATGTGAGCCGGGTCTATGAACTTCATTTTTCTCATCTGTCAAATGGGCATACTAACAGACAAAGTATTCTCTCCCTCATAAGGATCAAACGAAATTTTCAAATCTCAAAACAATATATAAATGTCAGCTACTGTTATTATTCTAAAGAAACACTCCCTCCACTAAATCAGGTCTTTAATTTACAGTGTTAAAAAATAATGACATTTATGTGATACTTTAAAGTTTGCAAAATTTTTATATGCATTATTTACATGCATCATCTCATTTGAGCCTCACAAGCAATCCTTCAAGGTACATACTACAGGTATATATATGAAATAACTGAGGCTGAGAGAATTTAAATGACTTTCCCAAGGTCACACAGCTAGTAAGTATCAAAGACAGGATTTGAACCCTGGCGCTTCTCACTCCAAGACCAGCACTCTAGGTTCACATGACCTCCAGGTTGCCTTAACCGACTCAAAGTGTCCCAACTAATGAGTGACAGCTACCTAGGACCAACACCCTGGCCTCCGATTCTTAAGTGTGTCCTTTCCCTTGCTGATCTCATTATTGCTTGTTTATTTTAAGATCCTACCTACTAAACCCATTTATCTTTTCTCCTTTTTTAATATCCTTTTGAATACTGTGTTTAACCTTGTTTCTGGAGTTTGGGTTTTCTTTCTTTTGTATGGCAGTGGTAGAAGGCTGATAGCATGACCACATCATTAGAGATTAAATATCAAGCGCAAAATTGTTATGCTTGGACTAATTATGAATGCATAAATCCCATGAATTTTCCACCTTTGGTTTTCTAGGTTAACTTCAGTATAATCAGCTTTGTGACATCCTAAGGTGAAAGCCTTTATGGGACTGAATAATACATGTTCACTCTAGAAATTAGTAATCAAATGGATAATTTTTAAGAATCATGTCACTGATTTTTAATATGCACACACTTGAAATTGTCATACATACATACAGATCACCTCGTCCCCCTCTTTAACTTTTGACTGTTTTTGGCCCTTATTTATTTTCTTTTCCTCTCTGGAGATTCACTTGTGCTTAAAAAATATTCTTTGGAATTTTCCTGTCATCTTCATTATTTCCCCCATCATCATGTCTTCAGGTTTAAGTAAAGACAAACAGTTTCTACCTCCCAGCTCTTGCTGTCTCCAACTCACAATATTAACCACAAGTATGACTTCTATGTTCTCTTAGCATAAGCAGAATATGTATCAATCATTTGGTGTTACAATCAAATATTTCTTGTTTTTCTTTTCCTTCAGCTTAATATCTAAAGGGGGAGTAATTTTTAATTTTTTTTTCAAATGAAGATGTACCTTCTCTCTTTCTCACCCCTTCCCCCCAAATTAGGGAAGCAAAAAACCCTAACTGAAAAGCAAACAAAAAAACCCTCCTCTTACCAACATATTCAAGCAAAACAAATTCCCACATTGACCATGTCAAAGAAAAAAATGATTCCTCTCATCATCCATCACCCAACAGGAAATGTGTAACCTGTTTAATCATGAGTCCTCTGAGCTCATGGTTGGTCATTGTGTTGATCAGAATCCATAAGTTTTTAAAAAGTTGATTGTCTTCACAATATTGTTGTCGTATAAATTGTTCTCCTGATTCTTTTCACTTTTCTCGTCATCACTTCTTACAAGTCTTCCCAGGTTTCTCTGAAACCATTAAAAGGGGTGGGGGGGCATTTTAAGGGGCCACATTCATTTATGCCCAGTGACCAGGAAAGAAGTAACTAAATTAAGAAATACTTTTAAATCCAGTAAGCTTATAAGGTCTCTCTATCTTTTTGTTGACTTTTAACCTTTCCTCTCACTCTGACACAAATTTCATTAGTGGAAGGTATATTTCTATAAGGGAGAAAAGACGACAAAGCGTGAATAACCTTCTGGCTTCTCTTAAGTGCTTCACAGTGTGCCTAGTTTGGGGGGTTGGGGGGAGCAGGCTGGGAGGCTTATGAGTTTCCAGAATGCCAATACACAAATGGCAATTGCAAGAACATTCTTAAAAGTCTGAAAATAAGAAATCCTAGAGATTTTCTCACCTTTTGAATTGTCTGTGCTACTGCTCAGCCCTTTTGATATAGATAATTGAATGTTGATTGTATCGGGCATCTGCCATCTGTTCCTTCAGCCATTTGAGTTAGGTCGGTCACATTACCCCAAGTCATAATTTTTGATCTTCTAAAAACCTAATTTAGCATTTGGGAAAGAACAAGAATCTGGATAGGAAATTAAATAATTTAATTCTCACCTACAGGAATAGATCTACATTATAAATTTAAATAAGACACTTGCTACCAAAAAATTCCAGAAATGATCTTAATTCTATGCTACAATGTATAGTAAGTTATGGTAAATGGAAACAGGTTGCAGAATTAGGCAGATGGCATCCTATAGGGATCCCCAACCCCCTTTAAACATTAAGAAACTCTCATACTCTCACATGATATTAATTATAATATCAATATCTTTTGATACTGAGGAGTTAAGTGATATGGCTAGGGTCACACAGCCAGTATTTGTCAGAGTTTGGACTTGAATCCAAGTCTTCCTGACTCCAAGGCCAACCTTCTATTCACTATTCTATGCTCCTCTCATGTACACACATGCACACACACACACACACACACACACACACACACACATACACATATGTAATTTTGAGTCATTTCAGTCAAGTCTATCTCTTCACGATCCTATTTGGGGTTTTCTTGGCAAAGGTACTGGAGTGGTTTGCCATTTCCTTCTCCAGCTCATTTTACAGATGAGGAAACTGAGGCCAACAGAGTTAAGTGACTTGCCCAGGGTCACATAGCTAGTGAGTGTCTGAGGCTGGATTTAAAATCATGAAGATGAGTCTTTCTGATTCCAAGCCTAGTGCTCTATCCATTGTGCCATCTTGCTGCCCACTTGTATATGTACATTTGGCTATATTTATGTATTTAAACATGTAAACATATTTCAATTATAGATGTGCATATCTATGTATATCGATAATGAAACAAATGTATATATTTTAGGACGGTCATGTTACTACATGACTATATAACTACTACTACGTAACATTTACATTTTATAAAGTCTCTACTTTATCCCCTAATAGTCAGGTGACCTATGTGAAGTGTGCCTGCAATATACATGTATGTACATATAGCAACGGGCAGCTAGGTGACACAGTGGATAGAGTGCCAGGCCTGGAGTCAGAAAGACCTTAGTTCCAATACAGCCTCAGACACTTTCTAGCTATGCGACCCTAAGCAAGTCATTTAATCCTGTTTGCCTCAGTTTCCTCATCTCTAAAATGAGCTGGAGAAGGAAATGGCAAACTACTTCAGTATCTTTGCCAGGAAAACCCCAAGACGGGTCACGAAGAGTCAGACACTAATGAAATGACTGAACAGCAACATAAATAGAAAAACTGGCTATTACCAGACAAAAGACAGAATGAGTAATGGAAATTCATCAAGATTTTCTTACTCGATGCTATTTTAGTTATGGCATCAGTAAACCAGTACAGTATAAATAAGACATATTAGTTTTGTTCCTGAGACTCATAAATCCATTCTCGACTTCATGATATTTACGAAGGGTTTAGCACAGTGCCTAAAACTATATATAATTAGTAATAGGTGCTTTATACGTGCTTGTTCCTGTTTTCCCCTTGTGATCTCATTTCAACAATTATTAAGTATATATTCTGCGTTTGGTTCTGTTCTATATGCCGAAGATACAAAGACGGAAATGAAATAGCCCTTGCCTTCAAGGAGCTTACATTTTACTGGGGGATGCAACACGTACACAGATAGGGAAATGTAAAGTCAGTTCAGGAGGAGAAAGTACTAACAGTTGCCTAATTTCTGTTGTCTATCCTAACATCTGTACAATGGGAGAAATTAGGTATTTCTATATCTACCCCACAGATGTTATGGAAAGATTAATAGTTAACATAAGAAGTAGAAAATAGAATAGAAAATTCCTTTGGGCCATATTAATAGTAACCATAAAGTTTTAATGGGTTATTTTTTCACTTCAAAAAAATTCACTGATTATAAGTAGCTGTCGGTTTTTTCAATG